GCCCTGTGCTAACACCTGCCAATCGTCTTCTTTTTTTGCTGAGGAAGACTGGCCCTGGGCTAACATCCGTGCCCATCTTCCTCCACTTTATATGGGATGCTGCCACAGCATGGCTTGCCAAGCGGTGCATCGATGCGCACCCAGGATCCGAACCGGTGAGCCCTGGGCCACCACAGTGGAGCGCGCACACTTAACCACTTGGGCCACCGGGCTGGCCCTGAATTTTTTAATTATTTGGTTTTAATTCAAATTTAAGCACCGATTTTTTTTTTTTTTTTTTTTTTTGCTGAGGGAGATTTGCCCTGAGCTAACATCTGTGGCCAATCTTCCTCTATCTGTGGGTCGCCGCCACAGCATGGCTGATGAGTGGTGTAGGTCCGCACCCAGGAACCAAACCCAGGCTGCTGAAGCGGAGTGTGCCAAACTTAACCACTAGGCCACCAGGCCGGCCCCTGAGCTCCGATATTTGATTCAGTTATTGGAAAGCTTTTACGTACGTTTGGAACAACCAGAGTACGTGAAGATCTGTTTGCAACTGTAAATGTTATGAAACCCAAATATAGAACAAATATCTCCAATGAAAATTTAGTGTCTAAACTGAGATGTGTTGAAAGAGTAAAAAATACTCTGGATTTTGAGGACTTCGTATGAAAACAAGAATGGGTTGGCTTTTAGTCTCGGATTGCGACCTTCCTGGGAGGGCTGCCAGTTGGCACATGGTTAAGAGGGCGGCTCCAGAGTCTGGCTTCCTGGGTTCAAGTCCGTGGCTCTGCCACTTCCCAGCTGGGGGCTTCCGAGAGCCTGTCCTCGCCCCTGTTACAGGGGGATGGTGATACACAATAGCTGATGGCATTTTAGATGTGTCTTCTCTGAAATACTAGCAACAGTAGATGGCAGTAGTTCTGTCTTCTGTTTTGAAATTGGCCTCACTAAGGAGACAATATAGCGCAGGAGTGCAAGTTCAGAATCCAGAGAAATCCTGGCACCACCACCTGCCCACCCTTCCACCCTAGGCTGGCGGTCCTCAAATTTTGCTCTCAATCCAAAGAGCTTTTGTTTGTGTGAGTTCTCTCTCTCAAGATTTGCCACATTAGAAATTAAAAATTTTTTTGAGATATATTTCACACCACAAAATTCACCCATTTAAGATACAATTCAGTGGTTTTTAGTATATTCACTATTTTGTGCAACCATCACCACTTTCTGATTCCAGAACATTTTCATCACCCCAAAAAGAAACCCCATACCCCTTAGCAATCACTCCCATTTCTCTTTTTCCCAGCCTGTGGCACCCACCTGTCTACTTTCTGTCTCTATGGATTTGCCTATTCTGGACATTTCGTATAAACAGAATCAACAGTATATAGCCTTTTGTACTTGGTTTCTTTCTTTCTTTCTTTCTTTTTTTTTTTTTTTTCCGCTGAGGATGATTGGCCCTGAGCTAACATCTGTGGCCAGTCTTTCTCTGTTTTGTATGTGGGTCGGCACCACAGCCTGGCTGCTGACGAGTGGTGTAGGTCTGTGCCTGGGAACTGAACCCACGCTGCCAAAGTAGAATGCACCAAACTTAACCTCTAGGCTACCGGGCTGGCCCTGTACCTGGTTTCTTTCACTTAGCATAACATAACAGACATTTGTAAAACCCAGGGATGCACAAGCACACATTCAGTTAGCTGTCACAGTGATGACATTCTCCCATGTCACACAGCCTCCAGAAAACTATACTCATGACACAGTAAGAAGACCAAAGGCAAATACATTTTAACATTATGGGAATAGTTTTGTGGACCCCCTGAAAGTATCTTAGGGACCACCAGGGTCCCTGGATCTTAGTTTGAGAACCACTGCCCTAAGGAGATGGCTTTGCTTCTAAGCCTCAGTTTGCCCATCTGCAAAGTGGAGATGGGATGGACTTCAGAGGGTAGTGAGGTTGGACGATGGATGAGATAGGGGTGTGAAGAGTTGGTATGTGGTCTGGCATGAAGCAATGTTCCTTGTGATGATTCCCATTATCTCCTGGCAAAGTAAAAAAATGCTCCCTTTATAGCTGTTCCTCTTACTCTTGGAGGGAAAACGTCCCGGTCCGTGAAGCCAAAGAGCACAGAAACCCCTGTTCCTGGCCACAGGACCGGCAGCCCAGTGCCAAATACCGCAGAGGGTCAGGGCAGTTGACAACTAAGAATAGAGTGGGGAATTTGTCCATGAGGAGGACAGCGCGACCTTCACGAGTGGCAGTTGGGGGTGCTGGGGCGGAAGCCACGACGGAGGAGCGGGTGGCAGGCGCTGGACACTTGCTCAGAAGCCGGGGGGGTGAGGGGAGGTGGGAGGAGGGGCCGTGGGTCAAGTTGGGTGTTGGACCAAGGTTAGCTTCTGTCAGCCACACTGGCCGCTACTGCGGTGATAGAAATGTTCCGTGTCTCGACTGGGGTGGGGGTTACGAGGATGTAGACGTTTGTCAACACGCTTCAGACTGCATCCTTAAGGTCTGTGCATCTATTCTATGTAAATATACCCCAAAACAAAAATTGGCTTGTGGGAGGAAGACGCCACTAGGAGGAGCGCGAGAGCCATAGCTCAGACAGAGGTTTGCAGTTCAAGTTTTGAACGTGAAAGGCAAGTTGTTGAGAGCAGCCAGAAGGGGGAAATAAAGATGAAGTTGCTGTTCACATTTTGGAAGCCCTTGGTTGTGCCCCCAACTTCCACCCCTGCCTTCTGGACCCTCCCTGCAGCCAGAGAGCCCAAGAGAATGTTTCCTGAACCCCCGCTGTGTGCCAGGCTCTGAGCATGCCCCCATTCCGTCCTCATAGCCATCCAGTCCCATCAGCCAGATTCCCCAGTTATCCCCACTTTTACCAAAAGAAACTGGGGCTCAGAGAAAGGGAGTCACCAGTCCAGAGTCACACAGCCTTGGGGGCCGACCTTGGAGTCAAGCCCAGGCAGAAGGTCATACTGTTGAATCCTCCGCACGCTGATCCATACAACCCCCTTCTTGTTTCATTTACTTATTCTTGTTTATCCCCTAGTTAATCCCCTCCGCTACACGGGCACCCATTCTAATGTGTGGTCCTTTTGTTTGTAGGTCGTTGAAAAAACGTATCGTTTTGAGCATGCATAGATTGTTAGCGATCCCGTTTTATTTCTTACCTTTTTCACCCAGCATTGTGGGTTTTTTTGTGTGTGTGTGTGTGAGGAAGATCAGCCCTGAGCTAACATCTGCCAATCCTCTTTTTTTTTTTTTGGCTGAGGAAGACTGGCCCTGGGCTAACATCTATGCCCATCTTCCTCCACTTTATATGGGACGCTGCCGCAGCATGGCTTGCCAAGCGGTGCATTGGTGCGTGCCTGGGATCTGAACCGGCGAACCCCGGGCCGCCGCAGCGGAGCGCACGCACTTAACCGCTTGCGCCACCGGGCCGGCCCCAGTATTGTGGTTTTAAGATCCACCCATGATGCTTTGTACACACCTAGTCGGTTGCATTTCACGGCTGGGTGGTTTCCAGGATGGAGAGTTACCATCCGTTCTCCCAGGGAGGGCCATTGAGTTGTCGACTGCCCTCCGGTATGAAGAACACCAGCGTGAGCATCCTCATCCACGCTCCCTGTGGATGTCTCTGAAAATGTCTTTGGGGCACATACACCCCAGGGCAGAACTGCCTCCCTTTACTTTGCAAACGACTGCCAGCCTGTTCCGATGCTAACCACGTCCGCTCTCCCCCAAGCATGACCCGAGGGGTCCTGTGACTGACCCCCACGTCCCCACCAAGCCTTGGTCTTACTCATCTTGCAAGTTTCGCCCGCCAGCCTGACAATAGGTGGCAAGTGGTACCTCGCTGTGGTTTTCGTTGGAGGAGAGTTTGGGCATCTCTCCATACTCTGCTTAGTCTGTAAATTTCCTTTTCATATCCTTTGCTCGTTTCCCTTTTTGGGGTGGCTGGTTTTTTTCTTGTTGATTTGCCAGAGTTCCACGGACATTCAGTTCTGCTGTAACACTTGTGAAAACTCAAGAATTTATTCCAGTGTGATCGATACATCAGGGAACAATTTGAGCATAACGCAAATTCCACCTTTGCTGCAAATCCCAGTGGTTTCATCCACCAGAAAGACCAGTGGAACCCAAGACCTGCGCTCAGTTGAAATGAGCATGTAATCATACACAGAGCACACATGCACACGCACCCTGAACATCCCCCAGGCACCCCAGTTCCCCACGTGTGTCAGGAGCCACACCTATCCGCATTTGGTGCTAAAACTTTCCATCGGATTTCAGATCGCCCTCCTTCCACCACCTCACAGAAACTTACAAGGTGCACCCCTTCCGACACCCACTTCTACAAGCTAACTTTAGGTCGTTTTCAAGGTAGAGTGCCATATTTTTTTTTGGAGTGTGTAGGTATTTCTTCACCAGTTAACGTGTGTAAAACTGTCCTCCCCTGCCCCACCCCCAGCTATCCCCTCTGGGGGGCAGATCAGCTCTGAGGGCCGTGAGGGTCCAGTCCTCCTCGGGCAGGCCCCCTCTGGCCCCCACAGCCCTGCCACCGTCCCTTCCTCGCCCCAGGATGACGCGGCATGGCAAGAACTGCACGGCGGGGGCCGTCTACACCTACCACGAGAAGAAGAAGGACACAGGTACTGGGGTGGGGGCCCGCCATCTCACTTTGCACCTCTGTTTGTGTGTGTCTCTATCCCCCGACCATGTAAGAGCCCATACCATCCAGCCACCCCCTCCCCCCATGTGGTGGGCACTGCGTTAAGTGCCTCGTGTACGTGAACTCATCCAACCCCGCCCAACTTCTCGAGGAGGGAAGGGTCGCTGTTGTCATGGCCATATTCCAGAGGAGGAAGCGGAGGCCCAGAGAGGTTCAGGCACTCGAGCTTGGTCACAGAGCCAGAGGGGCCAAGCGGAGTCAGTGGCGGGCCTCTCCACGGAGCTGCCTCAGGGATGGGCCCTGCGTGACAGCCTGTCACTTGCCCTCTGGGATTAACCCCTTCCTGTTGTGCAGCCCCTGCCCCCAACACAGGGACACAGAGACACACAGCCCACACTCTTGGCGGCCTGTTTCTCTCTGAGTCCCCCCATCGCTGAGTTCTCTCTGTGTCTCTCTCTTGGGGTCTGGAGAGGGGCATGTCTCCCGTCCCTTCATTCTTCTGCCCGTCTCTGTCCCCAGCGGCCTCAGGTTATGGGACCCAGAACATTCGACTGAGCCGGGATGCCGTCAAGGACTTTGACTGCTGCTGCCTCTCTCTGCAGCCCTGCCACGACCCCGTTGTCACGTGAGCTGGGAACATGGGTGGCGAGGACAAGGGGACTGCAGGGAGGGGCTGCACGCCTGGGTCTGGCCATCGCACAGCCAGGGCACCCTGGGCAAGCCACTTAACTGCTCAGAGCCTCAGTGTTCTCATCTGAGACATGGGTATGATCCCATTATCTGTTCCGTGGGGTGTGGAAAAGAAGACATTCGTAGTAGAGGGTGGGGCTCTTGGAACATCATCACCTGGCCCATAACAACGGATCACGTGTGGGACACTTACATTACCTGCCTCTTATGGTCTGGCAAAGGCTTCAGCCAGAGAATGGGTATAAGGTATTTGGTCCAGTGACTCGATAAGTGCTTGATTACATGTCTATTTCCCAGAGATAGTGATGGAGTAAACTGTGGTTCAGGTCCGTGAGGCCACCCTTAGGTTCAGTGATTCGCTAGAAGGACTCACAGGACTCAGCAAAGCTGCTCTGCTCACAGTGACAGTTTATTACAGCGAAAGCACACAGATTAAAATCAGCCAAGGGAAGAGGTACATGGGACAGAGTCCGGGAGAGACCAGCTTCCAGTTGTGTCTCCCAGTGAGCTGTAGGAGCAGCATTAATTCTCCCAGCAACAGCGTGTGACAACGTGCACGGTGTGTCGCCTACCCGGGAAGCTCACCCGAGCCTTGGTGTCCAGGGTTTTTACTGGGGGTTGGTCATGGAGGCCTGGCTGCTGTGTGGCAGACCTTGGTCTCCAGCCCCTCCAGATGTCGAGCTGATACCACATCGCCAAGCTCCTCAGGGGAGCAAAGACACTTTTATCAGGCGGGACATTCCAAGGGCTTAGAGGTTGTCTCCCAGGAGCTGGTCAAGGGCGTTTGTTTAGAACACGCAGGGTGTGGACAACCCAGGCCTACTGAGCTCACCTTGACCGCACACGATTTCCCTACACGTCAGACAGCAGAGCTGCTGCCTGTGAGATGCCGCGTGGGTGCCCAGGGCAGGGAGCCGATGTTGGCATCGTTAACCCCTGGCTGTGTGGCCTGGGTCAGGCCCGTTTTCTTATCCAGCCTGTCTCTGCAGGCCGGATGGCTACCTGTATGACCGGGAGGCGATCCTGGAGTATATTCTGCACCAGAAGAAGGAGGTCGCCCGGCAGATGAAGGTGATGGGCTGGGAGAAGGGGGCACATGCCTGGGTGGGTGGTTGGGATGCTGGGCTCACAAGCAGAGCCACTCTGGGCCTCCCCCTAAGTCCCTTTTCCCCTCTGGGCTGCTGCCTGTGCTGTTCCTTCTGCCTGGTGCACCGTCCCCACCCACTGTTCCTGCTTCGGTCCTTCTCATTCTCCAGGTTTCAGCCCAGGCCTTGCCTCCTCTGACCTCCTAATAGTCCGGGGCTCTCAGGGTCTGCCCTCGTCACCTCTTCTCTTGCCACTTGTCACAGTTGTGACTCCACGTGGCTGTCTGACATGTGTCCACTACCCCACCAGATGGCAGGCCCCAGGGGCAGGGGGCGGGTCTCTCACCCACCCCGTGGCCCTAGGTTCTCGTTAAATACTTGTTAAATGAGTGGATGTCACCTCATCTCTCCAGGCCTCAGTTTCACTGTCTCTAAAATGGGCCGACAGGGCCAAATTAGAGGACGCTGCAGGGCACGTGGAACATGCTCACAGAACAGAATTCTCGAGGCAGTTACTTGGAGCCAGGCCCACCTTCCACAGGTGGACTCATTTTGTGGGTGGGGGGCCACCCTGCTTTCTCACCATGTTTGAGGCACAGCTGGTGCATCTCCCTCCTCCTCCTGCCAGGTTTTCCAGAGCTCGGGAAACACTGAGGGTCAGATTCTGGTTGGGCTTTTGTCTTGAGTGAGTGGCTTCCCCTGTGCCCATGTCCTCCCCACAGCCTGGTGGCTGACTGGGCACTCCCTCATCATGGGGACCCTGTCGGAGGCCCTCAGGAGCATGAGTCTCCGTCACTGTTCCCTCCTCACTCAGCTGGGTGGCCCGGGGCAGTGTCACAGCTCAGCACTGCGGTAACCCCTCTTTGTCCTCACGCACTGCCTGCGTGTCCTCACGTCCTCACGCACTGCCTGCGCGTCCTCATGTCCTCATGCACTGCCCGTGCATCTTCTCATCCTCACATACCGCCTGTGCATTCATGGCTCCATAAATGTTAGCTGCTTGTTAATCTCCTGGAACCTGAGCCCCTCAAGGGACGGAACGGAGTCCGCATCCCCTGTGCCAGGACAGGGTCTACAGTACATACACAGTATGATAACTAAATTAGTACATATACTATATAATAAATACAATATGGCCCATGGGTAACATTTACTGAGCGCTTACTATGTGCTGGGCAAAGTTCTACATGTTTAAAAAACCATCCTGGGGCCAGCCCACGTAGCGGTTAAGTTTGCTTGCTCCGCTTCAGCAGCCTGGGGTTCACAGGTTCGGATCCTGGGCGCGCACCCACGCACCGCTTGTCAAGCCATGCTGTGGCGGTGTCCCATATAAAGTAGAGGAAGATGGGCACGGATGTTAGCCTGGGGCCAGTCTTCCTCAGCAAAAAGAGGAGGATTGGCAACAGATGTTAGCTCAGGACTAATCTTCCTCAACAACAACAAAAAACCAAAACCATTGTGTGTGAGCCTCCAAGGTAGGTCGCCATTGTTAGCCCATTTTACAGATGAAGAAACTGAGGCCAGGAGCGGTCACAGAGCTAATCAGTGACAGAGGCAGGGTTTAAGCTCCAGCCAAGCTGTTGATAAACCATTTCTGTTGCCAAGGAACAAAGAAGCCACTGAATCCCAAATCAGCTAAACACGAAAGGACCTCTGTGCCCTGCAGTAGGGGAAGGGACAAGCAAAGGCAGCAGAGCCACACATGCAGATTAAAGGTGCACACCCAAGGGGTCACCAACCTCTACCAAACAGTGCCTCTGCCGGGACTGTCCCCCACCCAGGGGGACAGGCCTCAGTTTACCCACCTGTGAAATGGAAAGCACCACCCCAACCCCCCCCCCCAGGGTGCCCCAAACCCACAAGCCCCAGGAGGATGCCGGTGCTCTTCTCCCCTGCTGCCCGCAGGCCTACGAGAAGCAGCGGGGCGCCCGGCGGGAGGAGCAGAAAGAGCTGCAGCGGGCGGCGGCGCAGGACCAGGTGCGGGGCTTCCTGGAGAAGGAGGCGGCCATCGTGAGCCGGCCCCTCAACCCCTTCACGCCCAAGGCCGCCTCGGGGACCGGCCCAGGTGAGGGGGAGCGGACCTGCGGGCGGGTGGGGGTCCCGCGGGGCCCGGCATCCGAACCGCTGTCACCCCGCAGACGATGCCCGAGCCGGGCCCAGCGCGGGCCCCGCAGGCAAGGACAAAGACACAGCGCTGCCCAGCTTCTGGATCCCGTCGCTGACCCCCGAGGCCAAGGCCACCAAGCTGGAGAAGCCGGTGAGCACCGCCTGCGAGCGCCCCTGCGCGCACTTGGCCAGAGAGGACCAGGGTCCCCCAGCGTCCCGAGGGCCCCATCCTCCCTCCCCCGCCGCAGCCCTGCGCTGACCCTGCCGCCCTCCCGCCCCGCAGTCGCGCACCGTGACCTGCCCGATGTCGGGGAAGCCGCTGCGCATGTCGGACCTGACGCCCGTGCGCTTCACGCCCCTCGACGGCTCCGTGGATCGCGTGGGGCTCATCACGCGCAGCGAGCGCTACGTGTGCGCCGTGACCCGCGACAGCCTGAGCAACGCAACGCCGTGCGCCGTGCTGCGGCCCTCGTGAGGCCCCCGGGGGGACGGGGGTCTGCGGGGCTGGGCGGGCTCGGGGGTGTGGCTGCCCCTCTTCCGGGCGGGGCCTCTGGTCGGCGTCGCCCACCGTCACTCTCACCGCAGTGGGGCCGTGGTCACCCTCGAGTGCGTGGAGAAGCTCATTCGGAAGGACATGGTGGACCCGGTGAACGGGGAGAAGCTCACGGACCGCGACATCATCGTGCTGCAGCGGGTGAGCGCGCCACGCCCCCCCGCCCCGAGGCCTGGTCACTTCACCTTTCTGACGCCTGCCCTTACCCCGGGACTCCGCCTTCCTCCCAGAAGGCCCGCCCCTCCAGGCCCAGCCCCTTTGCCCCAGGCCCCGCCCCTACACCCCCTCCTACTCCGGGACTCCGCCCTCCTCCCAGAAGGCCCGCCCGTCCAGCCCCGGCCACGCCCCTGCAGCCCCAGGCCCCTCCCCCACGCCCACTCCTACACCGGGACTCCGCCCTCCGCCCAGAAGGCCCGCCCCTCCAGGCACGGCCCCGCCCCTTTGCCCCAGGCCCCGCCCCCCTTTCCTAGCCGGGGTTCTGCTTCGCGTTGCGGGCTTCGAGTGCCCCACGGCCGGCTGCTGGCCCGGCCACCTCCACCTTGGCCTTCTCCCCCGCGCCTCCCTGCAGGGCGGCACCGGCTTCGCGGGCTCTGGAGTGAAGCTGCAGGCAGAAAAGTCCAGACCGGTGATGCAGGCCTGAGTGCGGGGGACCAAATAAACGGGCTGGGACGCGACCGGCCGTGTGGCGCCTTCCTTCGCCGCCCTGAGCCCCGGGGACGCGGCGGGCGCGGAGCCGGGCCGCGCAGGCAGCGCTGGGGTGCGAGTTAGAAATTGTGGGCTAAGACTGTTTGACGAGGTCTCAGGTTAAGAGTAAAATCCAATTGGACGCCCAAGTGCACAGCGTTAAACGCATCCTTCTGAGTTCTGCCGACTTGAAGGCGCTGAGATGTCAGGCGCCTCTCCCGGAGTCAAGTGTGATCAGACCCCCAGAGGCAGTAGAGAGCTGTGCGAGTGAGCACCGGGCACCGGTCTCTGGAAGGTGGTCAGGACACCCTCCCCCAGCACTTGGTGGGGGAGAGGAAGAGGAAACCGCAGAGGCGGAGGCCGCGGGGGAGGGGCGGGTTTGAGGAGCAGAGCACGTGAGGGGAGAGGGCGGAGGGGAGGTTGGAGGGGTCTGCCCTGGTGGACCTGCCTGCAGCTCAGACCTGACCAGGAGTGCGCGGCAGCCCTTGAAGCTTTGTTGTTTGTGTGTAAGATTGGCTCTGAGCTAGCGTCTGTTGCCAGTCCTCCTCTTTTTGCTGAGGAAGATAAGCCCTGAGCTAACATCTGTGCCCATCTTCCTATTTGTATATGGGATGTCGCCACACATGTCCTAATGAGTAGTGCATAGGTCCGTGCCCAGCATTTGAACCTGCAGACCCCGGGTGCCCAAAGGGGAGTGCGCGGCCTTAACCACTACGCGACTGTGCTGGCCCCAAAACTTTGTTTTTCATAACTGTGAATCACAAAGCACTCTCTGGGTGGTGTGGAAACCAGAGCATACAAACAAAAACGAAAAAAATAAAGACTTAACATTCCCACCTCCCTGAGCGATACCCAGATCCTGTCCTTCTAGGTCTTTCTCTGCGTGCACACACACGAGTTTTTTCCGGCCAAGTGAGATCTCGGTGTACGTACTGTGCTGTTCAGTGAGCAATCTCTGCCTTTTCATTTCGGTAGAAGGTCTTGTCATCTAATGCCTAGACTCAATTCAAAGGACCAGGAAGTGTCCTTGACGGCTATTTGGTTAAGCCTGGGTCTGGTGCAGGACTGGTGGTGCATCTGGCTACAGGGAAATGTTTTAGCAGGAGGGTGGGTGGTGTCATCCTTGCACCCTGGGGAGCCCCCCAGACCCAGCATTTGCTCCCCTAGACACTTCTAGACCCTTCCATTGGTCCGTAAGAGTCCTCACCCACCACTCTTGGGCCCACAGTCCCTGGAAACTGCCCCAGTTGCTGCTGACATTCAAGGAGCCCTCCATGGGCCTGTCAATCTATGGTTTCCTTGAATCCTTGCCACAGTCCTGGGAGAGGGATGCTTGTACCTATTTCGCAGAACAGCCCACTGAGGCTGAAAAGACGAAACAGCCAAAGTCACACTGCTCAAGGCCCTGGCGGAAGCCAAGTTCACCCAGAGGTCAACCACCCTCACCCCCAACTCCGCCACCCTTCCCCCATCCTTTGTACCCTCTCCCCTAGCTATTCCCACACTGTTGCCCCACAGACCTCTCCACCTTAGCAAGCTCCCACCCCATCCCTTTACACCCACAGTGCTTCAAATCACCCCTCCCCTAAACACCCCCAGTCCTTGCCTTCTTTCCCAAAAGCCCTCAACCGCCCCTCAGTCCTTCCAATTTTCTCTCAGCCCCCTCAAGGACTGCAGTCTTGTTCATGGGTGGTACAGACCACCCCCCACCCCAAATAAAAACTTCAAGGATTTTCAATCTTGCACCTTTATTTCCACAAGGAACCTAAATCTCCACTCTTATTCCGAGGCCCTTTGGGCCACCCTTTGTGGGAATGGGCCGGGGTGTGTGACAAGGTCCTCTCTCCAAGAAATAGGGTTTGTTTAAGGTCTCAAAGGTAACAAAGAGAGGAAGCCAAAGTCACACCGCAGGAGAAGGGAGAGACAGGAAGTGGAGACAAATCTTGCCTTTTCTCAGCAGAAGTTCCCCAGACCTCGGTCTAAAGTTTAGAGCAAGAAATGGGCGGGGTGTGCCTGCTGGCGGCTCCAGCCTCAACAGACCCACATATGGCACTTTAAGATGATTGCAATTACTTGTTAAGATTTTAAATTTTATTTATTTATTTTTTTTCCCAAAGCCCCAGTAGATAGTTGTATGTCATAGCTGCACATCCTTCTAGTTGCTGTATGTGGGAC